CCCCAAAACCCCAAAACCCCAAAACCCCATTGCTTCACAATTCAAACTTTTAATAGAAAATTTCAATTAATTAATTTCAATACGATTTAGATTTCAGGTTCTCACACTAAATCTGGCTACCTCTTTAAATTAATTGTTGATATTCTGCTTCCAAACTTTAATGATTCCATCTCTGCCAGATGAAAGAAAGTGCGAGCCAAACGCACTCCATTTTAACTCAATAATTGGGACAGGTACTTCTTTTGATGACTTGCTCCCAGTTTAAGCTACAACGGTAACCATCTATGAATTTTAAGTTTGCCACACTAGCTCATTATCTGATACATAGTTAAGTTCTCCTTAAGAAAATGGACCTCTAGTCTCAACTCTCCAAACTGTAATTAATCCAGATTAGGAACCTGTGGCTATTAAATGATGATTTCTGCCGGCTAGTGGAGCCCAGGCAACTGAGCATATATTAGAATCCCCAAGCTTAGGATCTCTTAAAGTAGCATATAAATTATAGTCATCTTTATTATCATCGTATTGGAATATTTAGAGCTATGTATCCTTTATCAAATCTTTCTATTGAGACTGATCAAATAAAAGTGAGTTATTCAATGTGTGAGAAGCAGAAGCTACAATTAACATAGGAGGCTCATCTTAGGACTAGTTCCAGTCTATACTTGATATTCCAAAGGTATTAGTAAGCACAACATTCTTTTTAGTCCATTCTCCTTCAATACTTCCATTATAAATATATATGTTTCCATCAAAACATCCTACTGCCAGTAATAAGCCATTAGAATTAGGTGCAAATTTAATATCTTAAATTGAGTCTTTGAAATTTTAATCCATCTGCTTGTCCCAAATTTGATCATCATCATTGTACTCCCAGATTTAAACTTTCTTGTTCATATCACTGAATGCTAGGACTGTCCCAAATACCTAGTCAGCCCATTCACATTTCCATATTTCACTTTTACTATTTTGTTTACTACTTGTCTAGGATGGAGTTTGAGAGTCTAGCATATTAACATCTCCTCCAATCATAGATGATTGATCATTACTCTCGTAAATATCTGGCTAAGTGCTCAGTATTTACCATGAGTACTAATCAGTGTCAATAGTTGAGTATTCCTTTTTCCAAACAATAAATTTTTTGTCAGCAGAGCAAGAAACCATATAATCTCCAGTGTCATTGACCACAATATCATTAAATTAGCCTTGAGCTGTACTGTTGAACTGAATATTATTGATAAGTTCTTTAGGTCCACTTGTTGCTCTACTCTAATTCAAAGTTTGCTGTTATGGAAGTTATTAGAATTAATTTTAATTGGAGTTTGAGCCAAATTGATTTGACGAAGTATTTGTAGACTATTTCATAAACATTTTTATAGATATAATAATAAGTATTAAATTTGTTAAAATTGCAATAAAGTAAGATTAAGATAGTTGTATAACATTTAAATTTAATTTTAACAGTTCAATATACCAAACTTAAAATTACTAAAGACCCACTCAAAAGCTACAAACCTCTTAACAATTTCATTGCATCAAGTTTTGAGAGATTTTCATAGCTGTCATCAAAGAATGTTTTAATGCAAGATGTTGAATCTTACCCATGAACTAAAGGCCAATGATTGATGTTAAATAAAGAATTTATTGCTTTGTCTAAAGCTCCCTTATCTCTTATACCGCATGAGTCTCTCTAAGCTCTCATATCATAGCGATCGAGTGTATGACATTCAGAGTTTTCAAGAACTTCCTTAAGTAGACCCATAGCATCTCTATATTCGTTGGTACCAAGTATCTTAGAGCAGTATCCATTGAACCCATCCATTGCACATCCGCATCCAACTGTAAAATTTTCATAAGTTTTGCTCTAAGCAGCTGGATCTGGAAATGTAGAGTTAAAGTTTAAGAAGCATTTTATGTCTTGCTGGGTTGGATCACATGGCCAAAATGAAGCAGAATTGAGAATAGTTCCCTTGTATTGAATAGTATCAACACTTGTACAGTTAGCTTAATAAATAGAAGCTTTTTAAGTAGGTGAACCCTTAATGACTGGGAAAGCGAATCCAGATTTGCAATATTTACCATTTCTCTCATAATCTTCATATGAGATTTATCTAAAACTTGAAGATAAAGTAAGACCTGCTGAGGACCAACCAAAAGATGCACCATCTTCTTAAGAGTATAGAGGAAGACATTTACGAACAGGCGGGACTGTTGTTCTATCCTCTGCACTAGCATACCAGCAATAATTAGCAATGCCGCATTCCTCATCTTCTGTACACTATTCATAAGAAGTTTTTAGTTTGGTACATGTTGATGGATATGGCCACAGCAGAGCTTTGTTGCAAAAGTATCCAGTATTACAGTCGCCATGAGAATGGCAGTTGGCATTGTTATCTAAACCAGTGCAAATACCGCCTACACATCTCTTGGAATTACATTAACTTGAGTCTTGACAAGCTCTGCCATTGTTTAAATTTTGGTATACAGAAACGACATCTCTACAATACCCTACAGTCTTTTTTCTGTTTATAGCACTTTATGATTAATTAGTGCCCTTAGTTAAATATTAATATCTCTCATCGAACCAAGCTGAATAAGAGAGACTAAAGTCACAAACCTGATCAGGGCCAGACCCAGCATCTAAGAGTTAGTAAGTTTCGCAAGAATATCCTCTAATTATAACTACTGGCTGCTGAGTATCATGCTCATAGCATGCATTTCCATCAAGTGGAGCATCACATGAAACACTTGGGCATGATATCGTTTAGGTATTTGTGATTATTGGAAGGGTAATTAATGTAATTAGACTTGAAAATTTTCTCATTACTTTTGAATTTAAATTTTAATTAATATAGAGAACTGCACGATCAAGACTTCAAAATGTTTAATCTAATTCCACTCAGATATTAATTAAAATATTTCCAAAATCAATTTTATACTGGAGATTCAACGATACTTTCTCTTGGGGTTTTGGGGTTTTGGGGAGATCGGAAGAGCACACGTC